GAAGGGTGAAGGGGGTGAAGGGAGGGCTAGGAATGGGGAAAAAATAACAACCAAGATGCATTATGTAAAGGTACAATTCCCAATGAGAAATATAATTGTGCTGTATACCTACAATGTACCAATAAAAGAATTTAACAACAACAAAAAATTTCCTGTTAGTCGATATCAACTGTGAGTAGGAAACCATCTTCTACCAATTCCAAGGATTTTCACAGACAAGTGATTTACAGGAAGAGAAGATGAAGCTGATACAGCAAACAAAACAGAAATGGAAAAAAAGGAGGTAGAAAGAGAAAAAAGCTTCTTTGGCTTCAACCACTTTCCAGTTCCCAACCATGGATCCCCTTTTCTGACCTATGCAGAAGTAAATTCTCCATATTGTTTTGACCAATAATGTTTATAAAAGTCCAAACAAGTCCTGCAAAAGATTTCACCAGTAAATAAATAAATAAATAAATAGCTTGGAGGAGAAAAAATTGTATACATCTGTTACTACACAAAAATTAAGACAATATTGTAGGTAAATTTTTTATTTCAAAGTTCAGCCTTCTCAACCCAGCCTAAGCTTAAGGAATTTACAAAGGTAAATGGTGGACTGGTTGTTTCAAAAGCTCCACAGATGCTGTATGTATTGAGCCACTAAAACTTTTAAGACTTAAAACTACAAGTATCTTGGTCCGGGGATTTGGCTCAGTGGTGGTGGTGCCGCCGCCTGCCTCGCAAGCCCAAGGTTCCTAGTTCCATCCCCGGTACCAAAAAAAAAAAAAACCTGCAAGTATCTTTCTCTTACTATCACGTTCTCTGTATAAACTAGTATGATGTATAACATAAATTAACATACTTTTCTTTTTACTAGAAATGAATTCTTCTTGAAACAGCAGGAGGGGAAAATAGCAGGCAATGTGCAAACAATTTCCTTGTAGAATACAGCATAAGTTCTTCAGCTGTTATCCACTGAACTACCAGTTAATCAGCCAACATCCTCCACCTACCTCATCCCCAAAACAAAAACATACAAAACAAGCTTTTCCTGGATTCAATAATGTAATCCTAAAATAACACATCCATGTTACACAAACTTTTAAGTTCATGCCCACCTTTACATCAAAATATTTTTTTTAATTCAAGGTTTCTAGGCAGCTGACCCAGTAATTTCAGCACTCTGGGTGGCTGAGGCAGGAGAATTGCAAATTCGAACCCCAAAACGGAATAGGAACATTGTTCAGCCAACAGCCCTGGATTCACCAGAAAAAAAGTTTTTTATCCTGCACATGTCGCCAGCAATTCAGTGATCCAATGCAAAATATATTCCGCCCATTTATCACACTTAGTTTTCAGTTAAAGATTCTCTGAAGATTATCAGTCTGGTGGGAAAAAATATTTTTTTCTGGTTTTTGGGGGGGTTCTTTTGTTTTTTTGTTTTTTTTTGTACCGGGGATCGAACTTGGGACCTTGAGCTTGCAAGGCAGGCGCCAGAACCACTGAGCTAAATCCCCGGCCCTATTTTTTTCTGTTTAACTCCAAAACACTCCCATTTTAAAATCCCACTATACAAAGGTATCAACAATAAAGTTATGACCTTGCTCCAAGGCTAAGAAAATAAACATTTTCCCCCATAGTAGGGCAAAATGAATGCACAGACACAAAACATGACAACACGGACTTCACAGATTTCTTACCCTGGCCCTAAGAGAACACCAAGGTTTAACGCTGAAGATTGAAGGCAGTGTTCCCAAAAGACCACGCTTTCTCTCGACGACATGAGGAAGCACTGGTGGGAAGAAGGGGCCTTTTTCTCTGTCAGAACTGACTACACGGTGGCATCACCCCAATATTCCGAAAAGCAACTTAACGTCTCCGTAGTTTCCCCACCAAGTAAGTAGCGAGCATGAAGAATTCAGAATGGCCAGGGACAAGCGCACCCTTCGTTCACCCGCGGCTCTCGAGGCCTGGAGTCAGGCCCACGTGCCCTCCCGGGAGTCCCAGCCCGCGCCAGGTGTGCGGCCCGCGGCCCAGGCCCGCCCACTGCCCTCTTCTCCCAAACCTCGAGCGCTCGCGGGCGCCCTGGACACCGGGCTCGTCAACCGGCCCCCGCGAAGGGCGAGAGCGGCTGTCCGCGACACTGCGGCTTCCCCGCCTCCCTGCGCTCCGCTTCCCTCCCCTCCCCCGCGGCCTCCTCCTCTCCCGCGCCCCCGCTCACCCTCAACTCTTCGAAATCCGCCATTTTATACCCCCCGCAGGCGCCACTGCCGCCACCGCTCCCCCTCCCGCAGTTGCCAACAACGCCGCCGCCACCACGGCCGCCGCCTCTTCCAGCACCATCCTGCACTGGGAGCCGCTAAAGACACCGCGGCCGCCGCCGCTACCGCCGCCGCCTCCACCGCCAGGCCCGTCACGTGACCGGCGCGAGAGCCCCGCCCCCGGCGCGCCGCGGCCCCGCCCTTCGCGGCGTCCCCCTTCCCGGCCCGCTTCGCCTTCCGCCCGCTCCCTGCACACTTCCGGGTGGCAGCCTGGAAGCGCTCAGTGGGGCGTCGCCCCTCCCTCCTGCCGCCGAGGCCTCTGCCGAGTCCCTGAGGCGGCGTTGCGACTGCTGGTGTAACCCAGCGCCTGGTCTGGAAACCCGCGGAGAGGAGGAAAAAGAGGACGGGAGTTGTGACTGGCATATTGGGGAAGATTCTTATGGTGCCCTTCAGTTGGTGGCTGTGAACGGAGGAAGCAGCTACAAATAAAACCATCCCCCAAAACAGTTGTGGCCGAGCAATCTAAGTATCGGCGTTGGGTAAGCCATTATTCTGATCCAGTGGTGCCGGCTAGGTAAGACCTCTTTAAATTGCTAATGACCTTGAAGGTCATAGATTGCAGCGTTGAAATAAGGGGGGAGCTGGCAGGCTGAGAAGAACGAAATAAGAGCGCTCAGAAGGGCCCTGATAAAAAGTCGAGGGGTCAGGGAAATGTGATAGCTAGAAAAGGATGAAATGGCAAGACCACGTGGATGGAAGGAAGCTTAATGGTACCCCTAATGTGCTGATGAAGGATGAGAGAAGACACTGAGTCAGATTGGTCAGAAAAAGTCTAGACCGAGTTCCCAGTTCATATTTCCTCGAAGAGGTGGGTTACACCCGCGACAAGTCTAAAATAATGATACAAGGGCCTGTTTAATTTGGTTTCTACCTAGTACCTCTACCCACCCTACCTCCCATTTTGCCACTCTGTACTTCTTCCAGTCCCTTCAGCCAACCTTCCCTCCATCTCTAAAACTTTTTAAACTGCTAATTACTTACTTTTGAGCAATGAATAATTTCCCACTCTTTCTTTCCAGTATTTGACTTCTGTTCATCCTTTAAGTCTCACTCCGTTTCACTTTTTCAGAAAGACCTTTTTCACCCCCATCAAATCTTTTGTTAAATTAAAATTAGGGGACTCGGCAGCACAGCGCTCACCTGGCAAGCACAAGGTACTGAGTCCAAGTCCCCGTACCCCTCCCCCACCAAATAGGCTCTCCTTAAACCGGTCAGAGGCTGAGACAGGTTTGTCGAGAGTTTGAGACCAGCCCAGGCTACGTAGTGAGTTCGAGGCCAGCCAAAACTACATGGGAAGATAAGAAAGGGGGAGGAAACGGGATTAAAAAAAGAAACAATTTTTATTATATACATGTACCCACCCCCTAAGATGACTGTAAATGACATGTACTCCAAACATGTATAGTACTAATAAAAAAAATAGGGCCTCCTTCCTGGAGTCCAAGAAAATAATATTACAGTACATACATTAACTGACAGCCTAACCAAAGTATACTTTTGAAATAAATAGCTGAATGTTCTGAGCAGCAGATCTACAGTGGCCAACTGACTCAATAAGGCAAAAAAAAAAAAAGTAAGATATGTATAGGTCACTTCTCTTTTCCACACTTAGATGTTGTTTGATCATATTGCAGCCCCAGAGTACCTGAAAATCATGAAAAACAGCCAATTGAAATCTTTCAAAAATTTTTTGTATTTGTGTTTTCACATCCTCTTTTATGAACTGTCATGGGATCTTGAACTTTTCCTTCATGTTTCCATGTTAACCATGTATTTATATGATTATTATATGTAATAAAATTGTTTAAAATATTATTTTAACATGTAAGTGCACTAGGCTGTAATGACTGATAAATACCCATTAAATAATTGTTTAATAAAAAAATGAACAGTGTCTAGAGTAGGTTCTCATTCTGCCTCTCCCCATTAACTTTGTGATCTTTTTACTAATTTCTAATCCCAGACTACCTTTTTTCACTTGGAATTGTGGAACTGATGACAAGACCAAGCACCAATAGAGTATCAAAGGAGACTTTTATTCTTGACCAAGAGTGGACGTGATAGATAAAATTCACATTAACTTCTTGCCCATTGGAGGTTTGAAGGTTATAGGCATAGGGTAAACAAAATGGGGATGGGGAGGCTGGGCATGGTGGTGCAGGCCCTTAATCCCAGCACTCTGGAAACCTGAGGCAGGAGGATCACAAATTCGAACCCAGCTGGCAATTTAGTGACTTAAACCCTGTCTCAAAAATGTCTGAATTCAATCCCAGTACTGCAGAAAGAAAAAGAACAAAATGAGGGATTCACTAATAAAGGTGGAGACAATTGGTGTCTTTCTGGAAGGGGCAGAGATTTTCTGCAAATTTAGGTGACATTTCTATTTTGGTTCTTTCTGATGGTTGTCATGGCAATTGTCACCTGACAACATGCTGGGTGAGTGTCATTAAGAGGGAGGTAAGAGTATATGGTAACTATAGATTGCTTGGCAGTCACTCTGGCAGTCAAATTACATCTAACCTCACTGGTAAGGATCTCTAGGGGATTAGAAAGATGAATAGAAAACAGTATGGTGCTTAAAAGAAGCTTACACTCATAAAAGGGACAATATAGGGCCGGGGATTTAGCTCAGTGGTTTCGCCGCCTGCTGCGCAATCGCAAGGACCCGAGTTGGATCCCTTGCACCAAAAAAAAAAAAAAAAAAGGGACAATATAAACAAAACTACAAGAAAAGACACCACTGAGACTTCTTTGTAGTGTTCATTGTAGTTGTTTCCACATCATCCATTCTGCCTCTCTTTCCACATGTAGCAGCTACTAGTAGGTTTGGGTGGATTTGACTACAATCAGTTCTAGGTGCTGTCCCAGTCTGGCCTAAGTTAATAACAACTGTTATGTCCTAGCCAGTGACTAAAGTAAAGCTGGACAGTTAAATCCAATAACTACTGGGTGTTTCCAGGCTTTCCAAGTTATATCAAGTGCAGGCCCAGGCTCCAAAGTAAGCCAATGTGAAGGAAATCTGAAACATTAAATGGTAAGATATGAAGCTTTCTGGCATATGGAACACTAGCCATTTTCCTATAATGAGCCAATCTGAAGACTAACCTTTTCATGAAGAAAAAAAAAATCAGAATTTATAATGGCCTTTGCACTCACCCTACCTCTGTATTTGTCAATTTTCTTTTTTTGGAGAGGTTTTACATTTACTAGAGATAGGAAAAGGAGTGTGCTCTGCAGGGTGAGTATTGGCCAATTAAAGGTTGGAAAAGAAGTACAGCAGCGCTTACAAAGGCCTTGTTAGTTTTCTTAAGCCAGTACTTTACTGTTTAGATACTGTGCTATGGCTTGTGTTTAGATGTGTCCCCCGCCCAAAGCCTCATGCGAATGAGGTGGGGCTTTTTCTGCTGAATCTAGAGTGTGTGATTGATTCTTGGTGCAATACTAGGCCCACAGACACTAGGATTAAGAGTGTGAGTGCTACCAGCCCTAAGTAGTCTGAATTAAAAAAGGGGCAAAAAGACAAGGTCTCTTGTTACTTTTGATGTCTTTCAATGGTGTCATGAACTGTGACCCTCTGCTACCCTGCCTTGGTGCCAGCCGATTTTGGACTGAAACCTCTATGAACTGTAAGCCAAATAAATCTTTCTCCCTTTAACTTTGGCTGTCAAGTATTTTGTCTCAGCAACAAGAGAAAAGTAACTAAGACATATTAACATTCTTGTTGCTGGGACAAAATACCTGACACACAATTTAAAGGAGGAGAGATTTATTTTGGCTCACAGTTTCAAAGATATTGTTTGGCTCCTCTCCAAGGCAGAAACAACACAGCAGAGGGATGTGATAGAAGAAAACTGCTCAATTCATGGGATGGCATTTGTTAGCAAAGAACTGGAGAAATGCTGGAGAAGAACCTAGAGACCAGATATGGTCTGAAGGTTACATTCCCATGACCTACTCCAACCAAGCCGCACCACTTAATAGCCCATTCAAAGATGATTAGTGCCCTCACAATCCATTCACCTCTCCAGGAATTTCTTAATCCAGTCAAGCTGACAATCAGGATTGACTAACACAGTTATTTTGAGTTTTCTATTAGTTTCCCGTAATGTCTTAACATGCCTCTAATTCTAGCACTTTGGGAGGCTGAGACAGGATGATCACAAGTTTGAGCCCAGCCTAGACAATCCTCTCTTAAAATATTCCCCCTGGAAAAGGATGGGGATGTAGCCCAGAGCAAAAGCCCTGGCTCAATACCCAGTGCAAACAAAACAAAATCCCTGAAATAGGTTGCTAGTTTGTCTCCCTAGACCAGATTAGTAATTTGGTACCTGATCTAATTTATAACTCCATAATATTCAATATTCATTTAAAGGGAAGCCTGAGCAATAACATGAAAAAGCTACCACTTTCTTCACTGTTGTGAACAGTTCAGCTCTTATCTAGATTTATACATCTTGCCATACTCATCAAAAAGAAATCCCAGCTTGGAATAGTGGTATATACTTGTAATCTCAGCACTCTGGGAGGCTGAGACAGAAGGACAGTGATTGTGACTCAGGAGCTCCAAAACTGTGTTACTTATTTTAGTTTCAGGAGTCCTGTGATAGAAATATTACTCCTAGTTTTTTTTTAATTCTTAGTACATATTTTTATATATAATGAATATATTTATCATAGGATGTTGGTGAAGCTACAAATACTTAATTTTTTTTATAGGTCTGGATGCTTTTTCTTTCATCGGGCTTTCAGACTTCCAGATCAAGGTGCAGTATCCTCACGGCCACCTCATGCATACCCTCTAGATTAAGGAATCACTTGGAAATCAGGCAAGAGTTATGATGCATTTGTCACATTTTTAGGGTGAATGTCAAAAAATTTGAATTGTCAAAAAATTAGATTATTTATTCATGGATATTTATTTAAGGAAAGGATATTTAGAGAATACCCTGGCTCTACACTAAGATCCTGGAAGGGTATAGGTAGAGCTTTCGATAGGCCAAAGTTATGTTGGAGAGCAGTCTGTTTGGCAATGTAATCTGCCTTAGAATTACCCTAGGAAACAGAGTCCAGGGAAGTTTGATGTCTCCAGCAGTGCATAACTGTTA